GAGCTATTTGTGACACGGAACAGATACTCATTATTCTTTAAATATATGAATTCCTTTCTCTTTCAAAAAGAAAAATGACTATTTCCCAATGTATAAGACCCATAAAGAAAGAGTGCTAAGGTCTTTTGAATGGTGTCATGTATCTATTAGAAATTAAGATCATAAAGCCTCAGTTTTCATTCAAAGTTGACCTCTACCAAAAATTAAAGGCATGCATTGTTACTCAGGTCCTGATGCTGTGTTATACACATTGGGTTAGACCTCCTTGTCTTGACTCTTTGAATCATAGCTGTTTCCTAGATCCTCTAGACTTGGTGTCTATACCAGCATATATAAGGTGGATTAGCACCCACAACACCCAATGCACAGGCCTTCTACCTAGCCTCAATCAGCCTCTCCTGTGTCTCTACCAAGACCCTGCACTCCGATAGTCATTTGACTGGTTTCCAACAGTGATCCAGATACTGCCGCTGGACGTTCATAGGCAATTGCTTCATGTGGTTGGAAGTGATTCTTTCTGAAGCCATGCTCATTAACTACATTAGTACTCTCAAAATATATTATTGTTCTCCTCCCCTAACTTCAGTGAGACACCCAATTCAGTGCTTAGTGCATGAAAAGGACTCAATGTTTTTTGAATAAAAGAATAGATAAATATATTAAATGGAGGCCATCAAAAAACCCTCTTATTGCTCTATCAATGTACCTTATGCTCACACATGTGATTTCTTAATTGTCCCCATGCCAGTGATGCATATGCCTCATCTAGTGATGAACACAAATGTAGTAGTGAACACAATTTTTACTAACAACAGACTGGAAATAGCCAAAGCCACTAAATATCTGTAGCCTAAGAGCTCCACATCCATGTGTCAAAGGAGAAGCAGATGGGTCAACCTCCTTTGTGACACAACTTCCCAAAAGTACTAAAATAATGATTCATTTTACAGACATGAAAAACACAGCAGGAAATGGAATAACACAATTTTAATTAGAAACATTCAGATTTACTCTTAATTTAATTCAGCTGCCCAACAGCCATGGTTAGATTTGCATCATGATGTATTTTCGATACTATCTATTTTCATAAATGTAAACTTTCCTGAATATGGTTCTGATGGATCCTGACATTTTAAAATATGTCCTATTGTCCTTTTCTGTGCAGTAGACCAAGCATAGAGTGTTCACTCCTATATCATTGTCACCGTACTATCAGACCAGATGGCTACTTCATCACAGAATCAAGAATTAGGAATAATTTATGCTGTTCCTTGCTCTAGAATATGAAAATAGAAAGCATTTGCTGCACACATACTCATGAGGAGCAGCTTGAACCAACCCTAACAGCCTCATCGGAGGACATTTGGTGCTGTGGCTGCACTGTCTACAGGAATTGGATTTCATTCTATGGAGCCCTAAGCTCTCAGGTCATGGAGAAAATTATTGAAGCACGTGAGTCGATGCTTCACCTAGTAATCAAATTAAGCCCAGAGAGCCTCTTTGTTGAGGAAAACAAGTTGCAATAAAACAGTTCTAAAATGGGAAAGATTATATCTGAACCTTTCATTGTTTCATATTCAAGGATTTCTCCCCTTCATAGGAAAAAAATTACGAATGTTGGCTTAATATTCAGAGCAGTTGTTTTTGTGTCTGTGAACATTAAATGTTAGAAACGGAAGAGCTATTTATCTTCAGCTGGCTGAAGAGAACAGTGGAAATTTCTCTTTATTGGTCTATAAATAAGCAAAGTCTGAACACACCCTTTATTGGGAGAGGAGCCACGGCAACTCATTCCACATAACTGGCTCGGCAGGATTTCTGTATTTGATATGGTCATAAGCATGCAGCTAATGACATAGACAAAAGGTTGTCCTCTCACACTATCAAATGTATTTAGCCCTAGGACCAACTAGTATTCCCCAGAAACTAGTATTTCCTTAGAAAGAAAAATGCATGTAAAATCATAAACATTTCTAACAGGTGTTATTGTTGAGAAAAAGCTAGAGGAATCAATGATGTATCATTTAACAAGATCAAATGAATGGTGGTTAGTTTCTTTGTAAAATCATTTATTAACAAAGAAATGTGACACACTTGGGCTTTGTTTACATAGTGCCAGAAAAAGCTGGTTAATTCAGTAAAAAAACAAGCAAACAAAACCTCCCCCAAAATATCAGTTAAGATGCCTATTTGAATTCTACAAACCAGAGATCGGCTGCATTAATTTATTTATCAGTTATCTGTGGTTGTGAACATGTAGGAAAGCCATTGAAAATCTCTCAACTAAATCGGCAATATAATCTGTTCTTCCTATGTGAATCTGTTTAATTTGTTCATGTATATTAACTTTTTCAGATTAGATAGCCCACAAAAGCAGACAGCTGCACTAGAGGAATTTAGTTATGTAGGCAAAATTAAAAGGCTATCAGTGTGAAAAGTGAACTGACAGAAAGCCTAACAAATTGGAAAGAATAACAGGCAGCTAGCAAGAATCATGTTCCCTTTCCAAGAAAGGAACTCTGCCTGTTCCCTGTACGTGATTTGAGGCTTATACTCATATTAATGATAATACCTCTTCCATCAATATCTTGGATTATTACCAGTGTCTGGGAGAAATTTTATTGGCTGCCGCAGTTCATTGAAAATTAATTGATATGACACACTTACTCTACATGAACTTGGAAAAAAGTCTATGGAGTGAGTGATTTAATTCATTTTATGTTAATTATAAATTATGCCAGGAAACACTATTACGGATGGCCTTGTTTCCAGCTCACATTGCATGTGTGAGCAGTTTGTACTTCCGACATGCTGAATACCCTGACTTTGACTGACTAACACCTTAGGAAAGGCATTCATTTGGCATTCTCACTAATATTTGCAATGTGGCATGTCCTTAAACAAATTAGGCCAGGAGGAGGCAGCAAAATGGCCCACTTATCTTTATTTGTAATTTAACCAACATTATGGGAGACAACATCCAAATTGGGCAATTTAAAACTTTTACTTGCTTTCTGTATATATGTAAATAATCTCCTGAGTGTTTCAGAAAACTGAAAAGGAAGAGGGGTTGGGGTAGGGTGGGGAGCGGCTGCCAAATCAAGCGGAAAATGCAAGATGACTTTAGAAAGAGAATACAGAGTTGCTGGTTGCACATTAAGGCGGTATGCTGAAGAACTCTTTATTTTCATTTCCTGTTTGATAGTGCTGATGAGTAGATTCCTCTCTATTCTCTTGGTGAGCGCACACTAGTACTTTTATTAAAAGGAGTCCATCAGAATGGGGTAGTTGTTATGCAGGAGCAGTAGCTCACATAATGGGGGATGGCATTTCTTTCCACTCGTGCTGGTCCGCTGGTTCTAATAGCAACCTGGAGCTCAATTTCCTCCTCAAGAACATTGCATTTCATGTGGAATGTCAATTATTAAAATGCAGTGTCCCGTGTCTTACTTCTCAGTAGATGAATTCATTTGCAAAACTTGCTAATTTATGCAAATGATCCTTAACCTGTAACTGCCTGGAACCTATTTCAGCATTTCTAGCATTTGGCGGCTTGGAGCCTAGATGCAGGAAGGAAATCCATTAATGCAGAATTTGTCAGTTCTGTCATCATTATATTGGTTATTGAGTTGTTTTAAAAAAAAAAACAAAAACACCAAAAACAGATAAAAATGTGTTATTAAGTGGAAGCCAACCGACAGCTAGAGCTGAAAAATCTAGAGATTAAATTAAAGATAAACCAGGATGAGAGGATCTGATACCTGCATCTCCTGACACCCCTGAGTAATGTTAGATGCTAATGACCTCTTTTCTGGAAGAAACTAACTGGTTAATAACCCAAAGAGGGTCTATCAGCTACTGACTAAGACAGTTCCAGATAGTGGGCAGATAAGACATTTCTTATTGGGAATAAGAGCCAAATTGGCCTGGGTTTCCGTAAATGCAAAGCACAAAAGGAAATATACATAGTTTTTGTTTTTATTTTTTAGTCACGGTTACATGAAAGATGAGGTAGCAAAAAAATGGATGCTGTCAGGAAGGGGGTTGCTGTGTGTGCATGCATGCACGCATGTGTACTTGTGCTTTTGTGTGAGAGCATGAGGTGGTACAAGAGGGCCCGCTGGTACTTCTGTGTCTGAATGTGTGTTCCCACAAGTACCTCGTCCATCACATATCTTGCAGCTTCCCTTTGAATCGATTGAGTTTTGTACGTCAATGGGGCTGTATTTTAATCAACGGTTTGGAAAAGACATACAATTTTTAACCCCTGTAGCCCTCATGTACTGTGACACAGTCTCTTTTCATGAACCATGTTGAGAAAGGGCTTTCTGCAAACCTCAGAGCTGCAGGTCAGGAGGATTCAGATTTCTGGCCTGTCTTCTGCATCCATCGGACCTAGATCTATTGTTTTTATTCCGTGTTCTTCATTCTAGCAAGTTTACAAAGGCCAGCGAGCAGGCTGATTTAGATTTAAATTAGCCAGGAAGGCTTGATAAGGGAAGCTGTGTGTGTGTGTGTGTGTGTGTGTGTGTGTGTGTGTGTGTGTGATGCACAGGTGAGCTCTAGTCTGGACACTCAGCCTGGGCCATCAATGCAGACTCTATCAAGCAGCCCCTTTGGTCTACTGCACCGCACTGGCCACTGGTCACTGTTTTGGGGGATTTCCTTTGTTCAGCTGAGCATGGCCTCTGACTTACCTGAATCCATGCTGCACATACACTGTTACAAGCTGCCCTCATAACCCGATCTTTTGGCTGCTGTATTTTTGTGTTTTTTTTTCTTTCTTTCAAGTGTACCAATAGTTGCAAAGCAGGTAGGGGCATTTGTTGTGGATATTGGGATGAATTGTTTCAACTCCTCAATGGATTCCAATGAAAGAGGAAAAAAAGAATCTGCCCTTAGTAAAATGGACAATTGACACTTCAAGGAATCTGTCCAAGGTCTGGAAGATTATAAGAGAGTACATATTTAATGGCTGACTTTGCTCCTATTTCTTTCAGAACTGTGTCTCTTTAAATCTACTGAGGAAGATATTCCTTCTGGCCCACAGGATGCCAAAATGACTTGGTGATTTATTTATGCAGCACTTGGCAGCCTATAGTCCAGATTGTGGCTGAAGCTGAATTTTATGAGCCTTCCCCTAGTGAGTATATTTTAAAATTACATTAAAAATATATTTTTTGAAAACCTCAGTCATGTTTGGCCCAGCCTTGGGCCCTGAGAACGATGGTGATAGGACCAAGGAATTAATATTACTAAGGACCTGGCTGGTGAAATTTTTATTGTGAGAGCTTAGAAGAGTGTTAAGCTTTCATTTGGGGAAGGAAAAAAATTGTATTCAAACGTAAATGTTTTAGTGATATCAAATGTGACCTTTCCTATTTGTAGCAATTCATCTGGTCCCTCAACAGCTATTTATTGGGCTTCTCACTATGTTCCAGGAAGTATTCGAAACCCAGGGGATTGTGGTGAAAAAGACAAACACTGCCCCGTCTCGCCCGGAACAGACATTTCAGAGGAGGGAGATGGATGATAAATAGGTAAGTAAATACTGTAGTTGAACAGAATGGTTTCAAATCACAATAACAATAAGTCCCATGTAACAAACACACAGACTGCGTCACAGGACTTTGAGCTGAGAACCCCCTGAGGTGCAGTGACTTTCCATGTTTGCCTGAAAGGATAGCTTCTTTAATGTTAAATCAGAAAAGCAGGCTGGGCAGTGGTTCATGCCTGCAATCTCAGCACTTTGGGAGGCTGAGGCAGGAGGATTGCTTGAAGCCAGGAGTTGGAGACCAGCCTGGGCAACAAAGGCAGACACTGTCTTTACAAAAAATTTTAAAAATAGCCAGGAGCGGTGGTGCGTGCCTGTAGTCCCTGAGGTGGGGTGGGGAGTCACAGGGGGCACAGGCATGGGAAGGAGGACGGCTTGTGCCCAGGAGTTCAAGGCTGCAATGAACTAGGATCCTACTACTGTACTCCAGCCTGAGTGACAGAGCAAGACCCTGTGTAAATAGAAAAGAAGAGGGTCTAGCAAAACAATTACCTGGACAATTTTACTTCTTTAAAACCCAGGCCAAAAAGAAAATGTGTGGTGAAGCTCAAATGAAAGGGTTTAGACCAAGAGACGAGTTGATACCAAGGTGGTCAGGCAATGTAGTTCCTTCCAGAAGCAGCTTGTAGTTTGGCATCGTGGGTTTAAACTTTACAGGATCAGTGATTAATTGTTGTAAGGAGGCCCAAGTTTACAAAGTCTGAAATAAGGCCACAGGGGCAGGGTTTTCACTGATGGGTCATAAAAAATGACACAGCAAGGATAAGAACTTAAAATCCTGGGCAGTCTTCATTGAGAATTCTTCATAGTAATACCTCATATTTGCACACCACTTTATGTTTTTCTTTTAAGTACAGTTCACGTTTTTATGGCCTTTGATTTCCACATCAATCCTGTAAGTTATTGCAATCCGCATGTTAGAGGAAAGAACTATGTCTTGGAAGAGATATACAGCTTTACAATGGTATAACTGGTCTCTTTACCATAGTCAGCCATTCACTCAAAAATGCAGATGTGATACCTCCCAATTTTAAAGGAATAATTCTTTGTGATTGCATTGCACTCAGCTTCTGTAGCCAGTTGAAAGTGAAAACCTCTGGTAGTCCATAATTTTGTTCCAAGTTTTACCCCATTTTATGTGGATTTTTTAAACTGAAGTTATGCTTTCAAAATACAAAAACAACTACTTAAATAAGTAAATGGGCATGGCAGATGCTTCACGTTGTCCTATCTCCCAAAAAAGCTGCTTAAAACTATGGCTTGCTGTGGAGTCAAGTAGACAAGGACTCAAATTCAAAGACATAGTCTGGCTTTTATTGCTGACAGTGAGATAGATTTTCCTTAATACTAAAACTGAAGGTGAAAAGGAGGCCTGCAATTGTGACTAAGTCAAGGCCAGAGGACATCAAGGGCCTTGTCATTACTGTTAAAAACCACAAGCAAGAACAATCACCATAATCTAGACCTTTGCTGAAGAATTGCTGGTCGAGGAACAAAAAATTAATAATTCAAATTAAACTCACTTAAATCATTTTACTATCCCTTTTGGTAAACAAAGACCTTTTCTTAAAACATAAAATTTTAAGGAATGTATCCTTTTTAATGGAAAAGATGTAATTATTACCATGTAACATTGATTGAATGTCAAAAGCATTTAATTTATTGGGTACTGGCAATACAGAAAGATGGTACATAGAAAGTGAAATTAGATACTTTCCATAAGTGTCTAGTCATAATTCAACAGATAGACACAACTTAACACTCTTTTGCTAACATGAATCTATCATCAGTAAACTTTCTAGTGATTACCTTTTTAAAAAAATTTCATATTGTATAATTTATTCACAATGTATCAATGCCCGAGTCTTTTGAGTAAGATTGCTTTCTGAGAGAGTTATGTGTGTGTTATTGTGTGTTTCATTGAAGTTACTTAAGCATAAATTTGAGCTACAGTTACAGTTATTTTGTAGCACAAAAGCGTTGGGGCAGAAGGTTCCATCTAGTACGTGTCCCTTTCTGTCCCATACATAGCCACATGCTATGCTGAACCAACTTGTAGGGTAAACTTGGGTGTGGTCAAACCTCATACTCTTGAGAATGTGGAAGAATCCTTCCTGCTCTACTTCAGTCAAGGCTCAAGGTGCCCCTTCAGGGTGATGAGAGAGTCTGGACCCCATGTATGCCATGGCTGACACTCGGAAGCAGTTTTGGATGGGCAGGTTCATCTAATTTCAGATGAGGGCTCCTTAATTCACAGAATGTCTGGATCTCCTGGGGCTTTATGAGAGCTAATCTCATCCAGTGCCAAAGCCCTTTGGGTTTTTTCCTACTGTTTGAGACTATAAGTCATTTGTCTCATCCTCTTCTCTGTGTTGTTTCTTTGGTTATTCTAGAAGATTCCAAGTAAAAGCTCCAGGCAGCAGTCAGGAGTTCTAAGCAGGTGATAGTCATAGTATTGATGGAAAGGGCTGGCTTTGGGATCAGTTAGATCTGGATTTGAATCTCAGCCTTACCACTTCCTGTGTGAACTTGGGCAATTATTACACTCTTCTTTGAGGGTCAATTTCCTTACTTGTAAATAGGAATAATTATGTCAACTTTATAGGACATCATGAGGATTAAATGAGGAAAAATAAAAACCAGCACACAGCATCTCCTAAGTGCTCAAAACTGCAGGCTCTCTTACCTCTTGACTCTTGAGGACCTTGCCTTCTAAATATATCTCCGTCTCATACATCACTTCAAGTCACAGGTACGCAAGTGGTTTTAATGACTCTGTTTCATCTGCTGCATATTTTGTCTAAAATGTCTAAGTACTTCACCGGTACAGTAAAGCCTTCCTCTAATGCCATCCTTGGATTTCTTGCTCTAGAGCCGTTGTATAAATGGAGAAGTATAGAACAGTATTAACTCCCCTCCAATAGGGTTTAAGTTAAACTCACTCACCTTATCCTGTGGCACATGGTGTAATGGGGGATGGGCCTCCATATATTACCCTCTAAGGTGAGATTCAATTCCATTTTGCAGTTAAGACTTGATTAGGATCTTTGGCATGCTAAAGCCACAGTTCAAAAAGTAAAAATCTTGGGCTGACAGTTGCAGAGGTTTGTTGTTAATACCATGGAAAATAAACAAGTTTATTTAACTAATTCATTATTTTCCCATCAAGGGCAGCCTTGTCACTTTCAGAGAGAGGGATTTGGTCCCTTTTAATTAATGTGATTTTGTAGAGGCAGGATTCTGAATAGACTCTGTGATTCCTATAGCACAGCCTATTTTACTAACAGCTATCTAGACAGGATCAGTGTTGTTACTTCGAGTTATACAATGGAATAGGGGGGAGTTATAGGTAATCCCTTCTTCTGAACTAGCTTGAAATAAAAATTAAATGGGCCTTGAGCATTTGTGAATTGCAGTGTTTCATTGGGGCCATGGAACACTAAGTGAGGCTCAGAAACAGGGTGTTAATTCAGGCCTAATCATTTAATTCCACTCTGTTATGTGCTGTATTTATTGCCCTCCTGGATCTGTTTTCTATGGCCTGATAAAGAGACAGTGATTCTCCAAAGCTCAGTCAGGGACCACTTTATTTATATCGTTAGTTGGTCCAATAAAAGCACTGGCTTCAGATTCCCGCTGTTATTTTCTGTTTTGTAGCCCTGTCATTAACTATGAATATGCTGATGGGGTTTTCATCTCCTACGCTGGAGTCTCTTGAGTTAAATGGGGACTTGTAAGAAGAGGGGAAGGTCAGGACTAGATGGACTGTAGAAAAGTTAAGTTTGATGTAACCAGATGTAAAGTGACTGGGAGGCAACTCGGGTTTTAGGAGCAAATACAAACCTTTCATTACTACATGTGTTAGTGTGCTGAAAACTTGATTGACACTTTCAGAGCAAACTTAGGGCTTTTAAGATGTGATTCTGTTTGTGAACCAGACATGTTTCAGAGTTTTTAAAAGTCAAATCTTTCTGCAACTCTCCACAAAGTGAAAACTGTTCTAATTTTGCACAGAAGGTAATATAATATAGCTCTAAAATTGTTTATATATGTCAAGCAAAGAAGTGATGAAAAACAACAACAAACATCGATAGGATCACACTTCAGATCCTCTTTTTTTGAAAATAGTTTTTACTGTATACTTTTATTGTTTAGCCAACAATCTCTAAAGTGTTACAGAGGGCTCCAGAATAAGAGAAAATAATGGTGGGAAACAGATTTATAGAGGTCACTTGAATTAATAATATGGCAATCAGAAGATAACACAGGTGCATTAACATAACATACTGTGTAATTACTAGTGTTTCCAATGGAGTTAATGGGTAGTTATCCATGTAATAATAGACATTATTTCATAGCAGATATGCAATTAGCTCATCTCATTGGTGTGTAGAGCACAAATGAAGCAAATCATCATTATTGTTTCAACACTAAAAGGTGAGGACATTTTGAGGACTGATGGGCCTCTTTATCAGACATATACTATTCATATTTTTAAGACTGTCTAAAGCACACATTCAGCAAGTAGAGGTGAGAAACATTCAGCAACTAAATGTGAGAAATGTTAACAGTAGCTTCCATACCTATGCTGGTATTTAAATGTTTGGAGCAATTAGCATGGTAGAAAGTTGTACTGGGGGATGTGGTTGAAATTGCTTGAGCAAATTTACATGGAAGTATACATCAATAACCAAAGTTATCACATTCTCATTGAAAGATAAGAAATGAATATTCATTCATTTTACCAACAAAGATCTGTTGACCACTTTCTATAGGAGATAAACAGCTAACAATTAAAGTCATGCCTCCATTCTAACTCTCCTAAGTACAGTGAGGTGTATCTTCGAATTGCAGGGGCTGGAGAGACTGTGCTATATATGAGGACATTACTTAGTACTTTAGCATTTATGGGTCAGGGCAGGTGCAGTGGCTTACTCCTGTAATCCCAGCACTTTGGGAGGCAAGACGGACGGGCGGGTCACTTGAGGTCAGGAGTTCAATGGCAAAACCCGTCTCTACTAAAAATACAAACAAACAAACAAAAAACGCTGGGAGTGGTGGTGCATGCCTGTAATCCCAGCTACTAGTTGGGGCTGAGGTAGGAGAATTGCTTGAACCCTGGAGGCGGAGGTTGCAGTGAGTTGAGTTTGCGTCAGTGCACTCCAGCCTGGGCAACAGAGCGAGAATTCGTCACCAAAAAAAAATAATAATTTATAAGTCACTTTGTTATGCAGTATTACGTTTGATCTTCAAAAGAACCTTGTGAAGTAGGAAGGCAGGTATCTTCATTTTACAGAGGTGGAACTTGAGTCTCAAAGAGCACATGTGTCTGGTTCAAGGTCACTTATCAAGAAAACAGTAGAGTCAGGTCTTCTCATCCCTAATCCAGAGCAAGTCCACTAAATAAAGATTGAGAGAAGCTATATTTAAAAATGACAAATAGCTCCACCTCCTGTTCTAGGCTTTTATGATTCTAGAGTAAGTGTCAAATCTTGAGTTTTAGAGAGGAAAGAGCTAGAATTAAAAAAAATAAAAATTAAAAATAAAAAAAGATTTCAAAGATGTGGGAGTATATGGGAGGGGGCTGGAGAGATAGATAGTAAAGGCATTGGAGGCCAAATAACTAAGGGAGGGGGGAGGAAAGGGTGGTGGCCAGACGTGTAGCACCATGGGGATCAGAGACAGTGCCAGGCACAGTGGGCTTGCATAGAAAGTTGTGGGAAATATGTATTGAATAGTAAACAGCACCCAGATAGAGGAGGCTCTGACACAGAATTTACTTGGGAGGAAGTGAAGAGCCACTGACAGTTTGGGACAGGAGAATGATGTCACAAAAATGACTTTTTGCGAGGATTAGTTTAGTGGTATGCACGAAAAAGTAGCTATTATTGGCAAAGACACAAGTTATGATCCCATAGCAATTGTCCAAGCATGAGAGAACCTAAGACTACAAAAGAGAGCATACAGCCACAAGGATTTAATAATTCTCCGGGGAATTAGAAAAACTATTTTTTAAATGTTATAAAGTATTGAAATAAATCAGTCCCAGCTGCTCACCCTTCTTGAGAAATAGCTCCAAATTAAACTTGGCTTTTGGCAGACATGAAAAGGAAAATTAGGCAGTCATCTAAAATCCAGGGCATGCCCTATATACTTCATAGGGCTCAATTTGTTTTTCTTATAATGTTGATGAAAATATTATCTGTCAAGCAAGAGAAACATTTCTCTAGGTTGCTAGCTTTTCAGATATCAATATTCTTATTAATAAGGTTGCTTTACTTCTTCTCTATTTTAAATGTATAAATGAAATCAAATGAATGCTAAATTTGGAGGTCAATAGAGGATTATTTTTTCCTTTGAGAGCTAAGGAACAGAATAGGATAATAGTAGGAATAACGGAAAAAATTTAGTGTTTTGAATTGACTTTTCTAAAGTCTAGAGTGTTTACTATGGAGAATTCCACAAAACTTTGATACTTGCGAAGGGTCACAATATAAATTAATCTAACATCATGGCTTTAAGCTAAGCAAGATCTATTATTCCTAAATAGCCTCAGGCTAAATTCTGGACTAAGGTAAATTAGTTTTTAGACCTATGCAATTCTACAGTATAAATTGTCACACTGGCTGGGTAAACTTGATGAGCAAGTTACTTAACATCTCTGGGCCTCAGTTTTCTCATCTGGGAAGTGGGGATAATAATAGTACTGCCTGCCCTCACAGATGAATTCTGCAAATATTAGTCACCATTGAGATTCATTCTCAATCCTCTCTGCGTACCCCTGCATTTTGTACATAGTGATCCTGGCCATCAGGATGTCCTCTCAGCAACACTTCATTTTCCCATCATTTGTGCTGCCTGCCCTGAGTTCCAGTTCACCCTACTCAGTGCCCTAATTTTGACTAAGTTGAGAACCTGCTGCATGCCGAGATGTCAATGAATGTTCACATATCTCCTTGTCAACTTTTCCAGATATCTTGTTTGCATTTTAAAAGGGTTTAAAAGCCTTAAGCCAAACAGTGAAAATGGTATTAATTATAGGTTCCTCAATTGGTTAGTGAGGAAGATCATGGCAGGGAGAGAGAGAAAAAGGGCCTAAATCCCCACCCCCACCCCCCCACATTTTAAGGTAGCCTCTGGGGAGAATTTGAACTTCTGGTGGTTCCTGAGTGACTCCATAATCAACACCTAATGTTGTTGCTGCTCCAGCCATAACCCTGGCTCCTAGATCCGAGGGACATCAAAGTTGGTCCTATCATTAGGAACATTTTTATGGTTAATAGAATATGCCACCATCCCTTTCACATTCAGCGAACACAAAGACACATCTTCTAGCAAAGGGCTGCGTTTTGGTGTCTAATGTTCCAGCTACAGTAAAAGCCCACTGGCCTTCCTCCCGTGTTTATAAACACAAGCACTTAATCCACAGCTATGCCTCCATTGCTGAAGAGAGCTGCCCTGCATAACAGGCTCTTTTTCTCTCAAACCAATTGTGGCACTTGCTTCCTTCGGCCCTGGTGCCTACCTACAGCTGTGCTTACTGAAGTGAGACTGTAATTCGCTACAGCATGCCAGAGTATTAATAGACAATTATTTATTGCAAATCTGAACCATTTATACTGTTTACTGGCTGAGACAATGTAAAATTTTGATCCAAATGTTAATGTGTCCATGACATTGCATAATTCTGTTCCATGCCATGGTTTTTCTCTTCTAAATGAATCGAATTTGCAGTACAAGGAAATGGCGTTT